TACTCCTAGCTAACACAAAGCCAGTAATAATAAAAAAAGAATTTATCCTGCCATGAGTTTGTAAGGGCAGCGATTTCGAAAATTACGCTAAACCTAAAATTTGCCAACAAATCACAATTAAACAAAATATACACCTTTTACATAAATATTTTAATGAAAGTATTACTCATATTACCCATGTGCTCCAGATTTCATAAAAACGCCAATGTACAAAAAAGTGTGTTCGGGCGAGTAAGTGTAGTACGTAACCAATCGCTACGCAAACAGTAATAAGGGGATTATGCTTTTGTACCGTGACTCAAAATCTTGTTAGCGGGTTGAGCATTCGAATACAATTTTTGGTAATAATCAAAAAATAGTGCAATTTTAGATAGGTAGAGTTGCAGAATCTTTTTTTATACCTAGAGGAGCAGTCGGGTTACGGGTGATGGTTTCTCCCCATCCTATAATAATAATAAGAAGAACTTTTTTCGGATCAAGCTCAGAGTTGTTAGTATACATATTTCACTTAAAAACCATTTTAGTTCGTATTAGGGAGAGGTAAAAGCTTTCGGTAAACTGACTCACTCATCGAAAAATAAATAGCTTATCAGCAGTTTTCTGTGAGCAAGCCTTTTATCTTCTTAGATGGTGTAATGTGTAAGAGTAATTTATTGTACTCAGCTCTGAACAACGATATTTTAAGGAAGATACTTTAAACTAAGTTTTCTGTTTTAAAGTATTAAATCCTTGTGAAGAAAGTCCTTAACACAATGACTGTAACTAGTTTTGTCAAAGCACAATCAGATGATCTTCCAAAATAGACGTGTTCATGATGATCATAACTTGTTTAATATATATCATTCGTTTCAATCTGAAACCCAGAAATAAAATTAGAAAGTTAATATAAATAGTTTAGAATTTTCCTCTTATTCTAATAAATTAAGTAGGTATATGTTTCCATAAATAGAAAAGCATAGGCAATACTCTTATGGATAAATACCTATGTATTAAATATTGAGAATATAATTATTTCAAGTACTAGCCGAACATGTTTTTTGTCTTATTATACACATACATACCTTTATAATTCTTAAGAATACAACATAGTCATGAAATGTATCTATATGAAAGAATAAAACTTATAAATAAATCTTTACTTACGAACTTATCGTAAACTAGGTTTTCGTCGAAGTTTGTAAAAAAATATATGTGCAGTAACTACGTAAAAATGATCCTTACAACAGTATAAACAGCTTAAACACGATACATTGTCTCTTCTTGCACCACTTTTTCCATATACCTGTATCTTAAGGCATAAGAAAATATACTTTGTCAGGTGCAGTTTTGATGTTATTTTGGCACGTAGGAAAGACACAATATAATAAACTTTTCTGCCCTTTTCCGTGTTAATCAGTTGATTTTATGACTCACTTTTTAACTTTCAGTAACTTTGTGAACCAAAAACTTCGTTGTTGTTGTCACAAAATAAGCTTTTAAATCGCCCGAAAATGATATTGATTTTTGTAAGTTTTTGGGTTGTAGTTGTAGGTTTATATTTCGGGTGTTATATTTATTTTTGGTAATGTAATAACTAGTACAAACGTTTAAAAAATAAACTAAAGACATGCATATTCCCTATTATTAGTATGTGCGCTCGCTAGCAGTCTTAATTACGACCCACACGTTTGGTACGTTGGTGGCGTATCTACCTCTTGTTTGTATATAATAAATATAATTGGCTCCGAAAGATTTTATTGAGAAATCTTTGTTCAAAATTTTCTTCTACTTTATCTTTTACTTTGATGTTGCGAATCCAGCTGTAAATGTAAACATAGTACTTGTGGATGAGTGAACATTATATACTGTTCCCGGTATTAATACATTGCCTGCTGAGAATTTTGGAGTAGTCTGATCTCATTGGTTAAAAGTACAGGCAATAATCTGAGGTCAGTCGATTATACAACCCCGAAGGATCAGATATTAATACATATATGGATAAAAAGTAAGATAAAGCTTTAAAATGATTTTATTACCTGAAGAATGCACATTCTATTTTTCTTAAAACAGCCTTATTCTTTAAAGTACACAATGTTTAAAGAGATAATGGATCTAGCCATTATCAAGTAATCCTTACCAACAAACAATGTTCCATGTTTTAAATACATATTTAGACAATGCAACATCTTCATTTTTATCATATGAAGTCGGCTAACATGTGACAAATTGTTGACAAACATCTAGAATTTATTCCAAGAATATGACTGAAGACTGCGCCCACATGATACCAATGAGTACTAGTCAGTAAAGCTTTAAATATTTCTCAGAAGCATACATTTTAAGTGTTCCGATAAGTTATTCTTCTTAATAATATGATTATAATGTATTCAGTGTAACAGAGTGGATAGGCCATAAACTGCTTAACGAAGTCATCCCCAAGGATCACCAACTATCCCTGTCTTGGGTAGTCAAACTAAAAAAGAGCCATATTTGTTTATCAGTTTAATTCATAGAATCATTTTATGGGATAATTTATACTAGAATTATTTATACTAATCCATTATCAATTACGCTGTTTCTGTTCTCAAATGTGGAAATGTAAAATGTAGAAAAAATATGTAATGTATATTTTATTTGTTACAGGTAAATGGAGTTGTTACCTTTGTTTTGTAAGTATCACTGAATATCCTCTGAAGTGTACCACAATAAAATAACTCTGATGTGTAAAATATTACATAATGTTTTATTTTAAATTAAACACTGTTAAACTTTATCCGTGTTATAGCATTTTCTAAAACTTGCACTTATTTCAGACAATAATACAACTTGTTCTAAACTCTTTACCTTGAAAATTGTATGCTGCTTAAGTATCTGAACAAAACAAAATATAATTTGAGAGAAACAAATATTATAATATTTATATTTCTGTGTTAAGTCCAGTTTCATAGTTCAGTGCACTCTAAAAATTCAGATTAATTATTATGTTAAGTTACTTGAGACATACTTTTCAAACAAAGGTAAAACTTCAAGTTTATAACAAAAGCTACATAATTGTTCGTAATGGGCACAGCTTTTCACCATAATTATGATGTAAAACTATGTATGTATATTATTATGTGATTTTTAAAAAACTATCAATATTAAACTATCTATATCAATCTATATATAATTCAAAATTTTGACGGTGCACAGTGTGAAATCCGACCATTTATGGACGTGTATTTTTTTATCACGGAATCATAAAAATGTATAATATATTTACCGAGTAATATTTTTTTTGGAAAACACCTTCTCTTATTCGAAAAAAAATTATTGCATTTTTCATACATTAAATTAAGTTTGAGTTATGGATAGGTATATAGCAATGACTACAGCCGCATATTTTGTAGTTATTTACGATGATCTAAAATAAGCACAACAGGAGTATCATTTATTTTCGGTTTCTACTTATGAAATGGTGATAGACACACCTAAAAAACATAAACTATTTTTTTACCTTTTTCCTTACACAGTAGCTTACAATAGCAGGCTTTGAAATATATTTTTCCATGTATAATATGTATCTATTTACAAAAAAGTATTCTATCAGTTATCTAGCTTTCATAGTACAAGCTCTGCTTGAAACTAGATGGCGTTGTGTTTCAGATGTCCGAACATATTATTATTATTTGAAGTCACAGGAACTCTTTTGCTTGAAATCTTAAAATATTTTTAAAATTTATTGGTAAGAAATTTAATATCAGAAATGAAATGGGTAACAACAAATAAACGATAGAACGATATATTACTATTATTATTATAATTTATTAAATATTGAATCGCCTTAGCATCAAGTGATGAAGTCATTTAACTAAAATAAACGAGGGTACTATTAGGGGATGAAGATCATTTATCGCCGTTTCCAATTCCGTTCTTCCTTGTATATGGCTTTACATTAAAACAAAAAGTAGGTATGAAGAAGTTTGATAAGTATGCAACTGCTCTAACAAACGCTACACGCAATACAATACAGATATACCTACATACAGTTTTGTTTAAAAAAATGACATAGTTACTAACAATTATGTTATACCGTATGTATAAAAGGGATGTATCGAGTTAGTGTTAAGCTAGATGCCTAGGTACCGGCCCGGATCTGATCTAAGTGGGTAGCGGGAGGACGCAGACTCACAGGGACTGCGCGCGCACAAGTATCGATCTCCAACATTCCTCCCATACCTACTCTGCCTCCTGCCACCCGATATCTCCCTGACACGTGTAAAAGATGCCACATCGCCTACCTCTCATTTATTTAAAATCACAATGTCAATTTGAAATTTAAAGCGTTAAATTTATAAGTTAGCATTAGATTACGTTATAGATATTATATTTCATTGATAATATTACAGAATCAATTGCACTAGAATTATAAACGTATAATTACAGATATCGAAGAAATGATTGCTGACTACCACTAATTTTCGGTTGGTAACTAAACTCAAGAGCGACCAGTTTTTGCGCTACGTCGATTACATCAGATTTGCCTCGAGCAACGACGCGAAGTACCTACCTACCACCATCATTGCCATCGTATTACTCGTACACTCCCGATATTAGAATATTTTAACGTGCTATTTAAGAACATTATTGATAAATTATTATAAGTTTTCAAACATAGACACTATCTTTACATTGTTATTTTATATGTTATTGTAAAGTATGTATTAACTTCGGGTATACATATAAAAACAAAATTTCTTTCATTTACACTAAAACATTTAGCAACGGCTGTAATTGATTGGATTATAATTTTAATATACGTTATAATCATACAACATATCAATTATAAAATTACGTGTTTCGCCAATTATTTATACACTGTTTAACATTTCAAATACTTTTCTATAAACTGCTTTATAACCATTTTTGAACCAATAGATAATGTATTGGAAACAGAGCTAAAGTACAGTTGTAATAAAAAACTGTTCCTAAATCTATCAGCGTAGGGCACATCTTTGTTAAATCTCAAGTCAGTGTTTAATATGAGTTGGGTACGGGCAGTCGGCGTTGACGGAAGGATGGCGGGAGAGGGGCGGTGCAGCTGCCGGTGCATCCAGCCCCCGCCGGCTCTGGAGCCGGCCCGTCCCCTGCCCCCGCCTGCCGCACCGGCCCATTGCCAAGTTCAATGCCAAGGTCATGCGCGCGCGAGTGCGGCTGCGCGCCGCAATGCAGGAGCGGCCGGCGGCAGGCGACCGGCAAGCCGTCAGTGCTTCACCGACAATCGCGCTACACACCGCATCGCAATTTCCACACTCGACGCGCCCCAACGGATCACCTGACAAAATAATTACAGTTCCGGAAAAAATGTCACGTTCAGGCTCCTTACCGACAGATGCGTGACCGAGCCGGTGGACGCGTTTTGACACAAACGAAATGCCACATTACTTGCTGGCTTTTTCAGGTGAACCGTTGTGAAATCGAGTGCATAACAGCGGTGTGCAGATTGTATGGCGATGTTGTAGTTCCGCGACCGACTGAATTCCTGCGGTGGCCTGATGCCACGCTGAATACCATTATGCAACATTTCTTCAAACGTTACATATACTCCAGTAAGTATCTTAAAACATTTTCGTAAATTAATAATACTATAAGTCGAATACATTCGGAGGTTTTTATTGTTAGAAGTAAAAATGTCAGCGTAGCATTTAAAGTTCTCAAACCATGGCCAACCTCATGCTTCAACCTCTTATTCTTAATCTTATTGCAAGCGTGTGGTTAGTCAGATGGTAATTTGATAACAACAATTCTGTGTTGGTTTATACTTATTTTTAAATAATATAAATTGATTTAGAAGTCGTACAGAGGACAACCCGTCTTCTAGGTGTTTACTCTAAAAATTAGAATCTCAATATTACCTAATAAAGCTAAGTAGCGTGTCCTCTAAATGTCTCAATATAAGTTGCCGTTTTGTTGTGGTTAATTTTCTCAGTCGCTACAAAATGAAAAAATTGATTTCCGGAAGGCATTTTCATGTTTGTTTTAGTTTTACAGAAAATTGGTTCTATCGACCATTATTTGTTTTTTTTACAGCATTAATACCAAGGAAAATTGCAAGTATAGGTTTTTTTAAGTTTTCAAAATGCTTACACCCATTAAAACATTGAAGCATTAATGTTTTTCATTCAGCACAACGTTACGTTACAAACCAAAAGGATTATTTTTTTAAACACCGTGCAGACGAATTCCTGGTAACAAAACTGGCCAGAAAGATTCTAAGAGCCAAGGGCATCCACTAAACCACTAAAGGGCCGAGCAGAGCGGACGAGCTGTGTATCCTGTTGTAGCGTTAGCTCACAAAAAATGTCGAACATGAGTTCAAGGCAATCGGGTGATCCAGCCAACAAGCTGCGTTTGCCGTTTGGTAGGCCGACATGCGCAAAAAAGCTTAATTATTTAATTAGACGTTCGAGATAGGAATGGTTTCAAAATAGATTATTTAGCTCGTTTTTAAAACAAATAATCATCAAAACAATGTTGTGATATATTTAATAGTGCCATTGTATCTACTTGTGAATTGCAAAAGAGTGGCCATGAGTTTGTTTGCCCTTTCTTCTCATAAGGCTCAACCCCTTGGAAACGGGCGGTTGTAGATCGGCACAGGCATAGATTTTGTATGGGTTTGATTTTGTTAAATTTATTTGGTTACTATTTGACAAAACAGAGATTGTTGCTTTTGTGTGTGTTGATCTATGACTTTAGAGTCTACATGGAAGACGATTTCAAACAATTTTGAAAATTTTATGAAATAAAGAAAGTTTGAGTTTGAGTTTGAGTTTGAGTTATGTCTTAGAATAGCGACAAATAAAAATTGACAAAGGTTGATTTTAATTATTTACTACTGATTCCAATGAAACAATTACAAACGACTTAAAATATTGTAGAAGAACATATAAAGAGAACCACTAAGTACTTTTAAATTATTTTTGCACCTAATGATGGTGCAAAAAAAAGAGCTACTGTATAAACCTTGTAGCTTATGAATTCACTCAATGTACAATAGAAGATATCCGTTTCGGTAGCTAGGTATAATGTTTATCATCAATATTGCCTAACGTTAAAGTTTAATTAGTGATCGCGGTAAAACCAGCAGAGATGGTTTTGGCTTCACCTGACTTAAATATTGATACAAACAAAATTGATAACATAATCTCTATGATTTATGATTTCATTACAACACGTGTAGTATATATTAAAATCAAATCTTCATTGCAATTTTCCTGTAAAATCTAGACTGAGTTTAAATGACAATAATAAAACTTTCGTAATTTTTGTATACTTACTTAGATCTATTTGTAATGTATAGTTGAACTAAGGTATATATTTAATTGAAACTGAAATAAATCATATATATACATGTAAATATCGGCATTTTTTAACGACATTTACGTGTGCAAGTACGAGACCAACGCTATACAACACTTCAACTTGAAACAAATAATTAAGTTTAATATGAGAACAATGTAGGAAGCCAAACTAAGAATGTTCACGTACTCAATAAAAAAATACCAATGTACAAAACAGTAGTAAGTAAAAACTAGATGACGCAATGCAATGCTGACGTAAAGAATTTGTTGCCGTTTTATAGAAGAAAATGTGCCAACGTCTAGGGAAATATATCTCTGTAACAATATGCATGCCTGAGATAACTTACAATAATATTTATAGATAATTTGTAAACCATAAGCGTTTTAATAGATCAGTTGTAATTTCTAGCAACGTTATACAGTGCCACACTTTATTTTCGGAGCTATAAAAAATTTATACTGTAGCATACCGGCCTCTTCGGTATGAATAACGTTCTGTTATGTGATAGATAAGATAGCTGATTCAACTTTATTTAAAAAAGTGTGATAGTAGGGCATATACAGAACACAACAGTTGCCAACATATACCTTGAAGCCAAGTGATAATAAACAATACAGCAAGTACTACAATACTTTGAATGATTTATATCTAGTATCTTAATGCCTGACATAGCAGATTAATATAATAATCTAAACATAAAACATACATGTCTGGCTATTGCACCAGTATGTTCACCTTGAACCCGCATTTAAGAAGTTTAAATAACAATAACATCACACAACACATTTTCTTCATAATTTTGTATTGTTTCTATTTTACCATTTAATAACTCGTTCTATGGCAATTCTTTGAAAAAGAGTGTGCAAACCTGAATTACTAATCAGCTCTCTTGGAATTATTCAAAGAAACGCTCAAGTTGGCTTTGGAATCTGAATTCCAAAACAAAAGTGCTATTCAACACAAATCCTATTTTGTTGTGTAGCACTGTAGATCTAAAACTGGCTGAATCTGAGCTCTTGGCATCAATCATTCATAATGCAGCTCTACTAAGTATTCCAGTGATGAAAATGTTACTTTGATATACTCGGATCATAGGTGAGTTATCCATTTTCCCACAACCGTGAATTTTTAACTTTTAATAAATAGCGGATGAAAACACTGCTACATAAAACTAAAGTAAAACTTTTGCATCGAGTCCACGTATCGCTATCAGCTGACGAGTGCGCGCGTCACATTGACGTCTCGTCAACAACATGTCGGCTAAAATGGCCAATAATTTGTTTATTTACAACAACAACATCTATTATGATTATACAGGTTTATCTTGAGATTTACACAATAAACGTAAATATGACGTATATACCTATTAGTTTATCTTTATTTTGGGCTGACTACTCTTTGTATATTTTGATAATAATGATAATGTTGCAATATCTTATCTTTCTCAATTTTTTGGTAAGAAACTTAAAACAAGGTTAAACTTACAGAACTTATCAACACAAACATGTAAGTCTAAATTTAAAATATTTGTTTAAAATTGCCTGTTCTGTGATGACGTCGTTAGCTTTGAACAGATTTGGCTCTTTAGCTCATGTGTGAGTCTTATACTAAACATCATTGAAGTATAGGTACGGTAAAGAGATCTTGATGCGACAGAATTTTTTCTAAGAGCAACATTGTCATATTTTCATAGACAGACTCGGCACGTGCAAAGTCTGTGACGCATCGCTAATAAATAAACTATGTAATTTGCCAAATCGTGTTATAAAACTGAGTGACCGACACGTGTCGCGTGCATTTATTGCGAACTTCACAAGACACACTTGAAAATCTCAATATCGATTATAATAACGCCTATGAAATGCCTCTCTCATAAATTTGTCCTACACATATATAGACCTCGCGTTAGCAATTGGTATCAACCTCTTACTTTTTTTATATCTGAACATTAATTTGTTATTTGGAGCGATCCTCGGAAGGGACTGACTTATGCGAAGACTACACGGAATCTTATATCATAGTATAGTGGCAGTTAGGGTCCCGGATAAAAGTTTAAGTAATGAAAATTCTTATTAAAATAAATTCATATCAAAGTCAAATCTTTCTCTCTCAAGAAATAAAAGTTATTATTATAGTAAAATTGTATACTGTAAAAATATATATAAAACCACCGAATTTTGGCAATAGTCCACTGAATATAGATGTAATGTACCTCATTTCCGTCTATATACATAGTTGAAACGTTGCGAGCTTGGCGCATTACTTCCTAACATATGATAAAGTTAAATGACCCTTTAAAAAAGTATTGTCAACATATGCATTTGCAATATGTTTACCTTAACCATAAAATATTTGAATAAAACCACTTTAGGCTTTTAATGCTCCCTGTTTAATAGTAAGAATACAATATAATAGTATAATAGTATAAGTATAGGTTAAATATAAAGATTTCTAATTTAACTGCGTCCTTTTGACCCAGCATAATGAAAAAGACTTTTTATTTTTCTTCTGTCATTGAATTCCATAAATTATTTTACGAACATATTTTAGAAATCGTGGGAATCAGCACGATCCATTGATTATTATTAATCCTGCGCTGGTCACGAGTTTTTTTTTATCATAATAAACGACAGTTTCTCACTTTTCAGTTACCTGCCAGCTATTTAAACTATTGTTCACCAGAATTTTGCTACTGTTAATCAAATGTTCAATTGCAACAAAATTTGAACAAAACTTCTAAGTTAAGGAAGGACCAAAAATCTAATGATTTAACATCGATGATTTTCACATCATCATTATCATCACATCAACAGCCTTTAATAGTCCACTGCTGGACATAGGCCTCTCCTTAGAAAGAAGGTTTTGGCCTACTATACCACGCTGGCCAGACGGGTTGGTATAGGGATTGTATCAAGTTTTCCTTCTTTTTGCAGTGCTGGTGTCCTGCGTTGTTTTGCGATGATTTTAGATTTTT